TTTAGTCCGTATATGTTAATGAAACCAAGATCTTTAGTTCGTATATGTTAATGAAACCAAGATCTTTAGTCCGTATATGTTAATGAGACCAAGATCTTTAGTCCGTATATGTTAATGAAACCAAGATCTTTAGTCCGTATATGTTAATGAAACCAAGATCTTTAATTACTTTATCTTAATGAGACCAAGATCTTTAGTCCGTATATGTTAATGAAACCAAGACCTTTAGTTCGTATATGTTAATGAAACCAAGACCTTTAGTTCGTATATGTTAATGAAACCAAGATCTTTAATCCGTATATGTTAATGAGACCAAGATCTTTAGTCCGTATATGTTAATGAAACCAATATCTTTAGTCCGTATATGTTAATGAAACCAAGATCTTTAATTACTTTATCTTAATGAGACCAAGATCTTTAGTCCGTATATGTTAATGAAACCAAGATCTTTAGTCCGTATATGTTAATGAAACCAAGATCTTTAGTTCGTATATGTTAATGAAACCAAGATCTTTAGTCCGTATATGTTAATGAGACCAAGATCTTTAGTCCGTATATGTTAATGAAACCAAGATCTTTAGTCCGTATATGTTAATGAAACCAAGATCTTTAATTACTTTATCTTAATGAGACCAAGATCTTTAGTCCGTATATGTTAATGAAATTAAGATCTTTAATTACTTTATCTTAATGAGACCAAGATCTTTAGTCCGTATATGTTAATGAAACCAAGATCTTTAGTCCTTATATGTTAATGAAACCAAGATCTTTAGTTCGTATATGTTAACGAAACCAAGATTTTTAGTCCGTATTTGTTAATAAAACCAAGATTTTATTTTGTATATGTTAATGAAGCAAAGGATTATAATTTTATTTTGTTAATCAAACCAATGCTTACAGTACCTGTATATTTTAATCAAACTAATGTTATTCAAACCAATGCTTACAGTACCTGTATATTTTAATCAAACTAATGTTATTCAAACCAATTCTTACAGTTCTTGTATATTTCATCATATGTTAAATGCACTTTAGAAGTCATCCTCGTAATTTAGATTATGGCACTGCTGTAAATAACATGAAAAAAATAAACAGCTGGAAATCCAATTACTACAACTTTACGTCCAATCTCTAGCTGGTAACTACATTATTTCATAGATAAAGAACGACGCGAAACTCAACAAATAACAAAAGAACCTCGTTTAATGATTCCAACATACTTACATTTATTTTCATGAGATTCTTAATTAGTTTATTTACCTCGAATCCTAGAAGGCCCTTAACTCCTGTACAAACGCGTCAGGTGGAATGTTCGAGTCACACTACTGAGTGATTTCAAAACTGTACTTGTACACCCACACACACCCACACACACACCCACACAAATACTTTTTCTAAAGAAAAAAAAAAGTATAATTTGGTTTCGTTGGTTAACTCTGAACAATAAGTATGATTTACGAGTAGGTGTGCTAGGCAAGAAGTAAGAATAAAAGCACATTTGTTGTTCGACTGCGCAGACTTTTACATGCGGTGTTTGTGGGAATCCTTTGAAGCTGATTGCACTTGGTTGCACTGACACGATCGTCGGGGTCTTGGGATTCGATCAATCCGTTTGCTGAAAATTTCACATTAGCGTAAAGTAGGTAATTGGGTTGTTGTTGTTGTTTTTTTGGGGTGGGGGATGTTTTTGTGTTTGTCTGTTGGGAAGGGGATTTTAAGGGTGCTTTATGGTGGGATAACATAACAAAAAAGTCAACAAACCGTTACTAAGAGATAGTACAAGATAGGCAGACCACTGATATCATAACAAACATATACGTTGATCAAATTAAATAAAATTTAACATTTAAAAAAAACAAACCCTTAAACAAGTCTAAGTCAATAAGTGCAGTGAAACTTCATAGCCAAAATAGCACTCTCTCTAATGCACTTATCACTCATCCAAATAAGAACAAACCATGTGAAGTTGCAATCGGTTCATTTTGATATTAATATCTGAAAACCAACTAATGTGACAGATTTGAAGCTTTTAAAAAATACATTTTAAGGTTAAAACAAATCAACATTATCTTTCAATAAACAGAATTATGATTAGAATTATATGTATTTTTCAGCATATTAAACAATGTGTGTTAAAAGAAATCTGCGACTTTAGAATTTTTAATAAGTTCAGGGAAGTGCAAAACATGTAAGGTTTCCCATTAAGGGGGCTACCATCGCTTGGATAGTTTTATAAATTAACTTTGTTATTAAAAATTGAAGAAAAAAAAAAGGGGGGGGGGGGTGGGGTAATCGGTAATTTCCTATTGTCCCAGGCAGCACCAGTTATGTTTTAGAATAAAGGAATGAATATGATAAATAAAAAAAACCTTCTCAGGCACATAGATCTTTTAAAAAATAAATATCTGTTTACCAATGAAGAAAATATTGTTTAAAGACGTTGACAAAACTTGGGTACGCTTACATAGGTAATACGCGTAGCTCAAGTAAATATCTCAAACCCTGTCATTTTACAAACGTGAGCATTTCATTGTAAAAATAGAGCCATAGTTTTTCCCTTTCAAAATTCTTGGGGGTTGAGAAAGAGTGGGGAAGGTTTTCTTTGAAAAAGTGAAAATTTATTTTTGTCTTTACTTCGCGATTCGGGATCGATTTAGGGTTCAGGTTAGGCATAGGTATCGATTTAAGACGTAAAAGTGCGCGCGTGGAAATAAACGCGGGCCGCGTTCTCTGAATTTACCAAAAGGGCTAACATCCAAGGGAAAAGGGTAAATTGACTATTTGAAAGTTAATCCCTATTCCAATTTGGATGATAAACAGAGATGTTTAGGTCCTACTAAGTTCAGTTTTATAAAAAAAAAAAAGGTCATCACGGTGTTTATAGCGTACCTATGGTAACATTGATACGGCAACAAACAAAAATGTTAGTGGTGCGATTTACTTCCTTGGGTAAATTGTGTAAGAGTCTCTTAAAATTAATAAAAATTTGACCACAAAAGGTCTAAAGTCTTTTTTTTCGGCAGTGCGAAGAAAGTGTGTGAAAACGAGTTTCGAAACATTTAATTTTTCCGGTTTCGGCCAAAAGTCTCTATTTGGTTTTGGGCTGAAAGTCTCGTTAAGCTTTCTATTTCGACTTCGATTTCGGCCGAAAATCATTTTCAACTTTCGGCCTGCTTTCGGCTTTGGCCGAAATCATAAATAATCACTTTCAGTCAGTCTTCATTAGGAACGTTAACATCACTAAATATTTATTATTTGTAAACATATAAATTCTGATGAGGTAGAAAAATATCACACATTCCTGGCATTATCATCCCGGCAAAATCCGGTCCTCTATTCTAGTAGATAAATTTAAAGGAAAAACAAATAATAGAAAACGTGACTAATTCGGCGGATTTTTTTTTCTATCGCGGTTTTTAAGGGAGGGGAGGGATGGATTCTAGAACCTAAACTTCATGATAGACGAGGGATCATTGTAGGCCTATTTAAAAAAAAAATTGTAATATCATTGGCGGAAATTGATATCCGTAGACAACCAGACAAGAAATCGTTTGACACGGTTATTGGTTAGGGTAAGTTGAGGATTATAAAATGAGAAGTAAAATATACTTTTTTTTTTAATAAGCAGTGTGAACATAATGAATTTAGTCTTTTTCGAATGACTATAATATAAATATAGATTACATATGTGGTGTTTAAAAATAAATGACAATGTATTGGTTATCATTACTGGTAATCAATACGTCATCCGTCCCTATAGCTACTGAAAGGGGTAGATGTTACCTTTCCAAATCATTAAAGTGGGGTGCGGGGTGGGGGGGGGCAAGAGCCAGGTTGACTCGCCCACACCCCCTCCACCCCCCTCATTTTTATTTTTTCATTTAATCTACGATTCCTCTTATTACACAAGCCATAAATTCCAGCAGACGACTTTAACATAATACTTTATTTGAACTCTGTGGAACTCAAGATATTGATTGCCTAAGATATAAAACAATTCAGTTCTTAGAAACAGCCTGAAGGTGTTCGAGTTCACGTCGTCGAGACTGCACCTTGGTATGTGGGTCTGTCTATTCATAGAAAGGTTACTTTACAAGACGGACAATTCAATAAAGTCGTGGCTGTTTAAGCGGTAGGTTTAATTTTTACAATAGAATCAATAAGTTATATTCATTTTGAATCACTAAATACATTTCAAAGGAGTGCATTTAAAGATTGCGACAGAGGGGGCCACATGAGAATAATGCCAGCACTGGTATTAAATTCTTGAACAAATGGAAATTATTGAAGGTATTTAATGGAATATCGGCTAAGACTTAGTGTGTACATTCAGTGTCGTAGGAAGGTTGAGGCAAAGTGGGTTGTATGGCAAGGGCGGCACTTTCCTTATATATTGAGGGTCGACAATTTCAGTTTTTCCTTGGCCTGTGGGATGGGGGGTGTGTAGCAAAATCCCAGCCCGCCCCTATTGACCATGCTAAGTCCCTGTGACTATACGACTGCCGTAATATCGTTAACTCACCGAAATTTACTGAAAACTCAAAATGGTCACAAAGGGAGTCAAGGTCCATGGCATACGGCGGCTTATTTTTCCACTTGAGAAGTACTTAAGATATCTTGTTTAAATTGTTATAGCTTGAAAATGTCTGTTTTCGTACAAATATTTATTTGAGCTTTGAAAAATGAAATGTATTGGTAAAAATCAATATGAAAAAAAAATATCCATTTATTTGTATCATTAAAAGATATATTATCTTATCTAATTTCACAGTTACCAATCAGTTTGGTCTGTTATTCCCTATCCGGGACGTTCATCTGAGAGGGGAAAAGGAACGACTTTAAAAAGTCAAATTTGCGTAATCGCCGAAAGCAATCTTCAAGAATGTGTCTTCCGTCCATGCATGTCTACACCTGACACACCGCCGATTGGTTGCGTTCGAAATAATTCCACGGTCGAGGCCAGTTTCGGGGAATTTTTGTTCAGACGTCATAAGAAGAAGGGAGAAGTTAAACAGTCATTCCGTCAGCGCTAATCATATTCTTTAGAACGTGGGGTAACTGGATCGTGACAGCAGTGTAGGTCTACTGGTGCTAATTGTCTCGACAACTGAACCGTAGTTCTGATGATGTTTTGTGTCCGAATAAGTGAATAACAGGTATGCTGGTGTTAGTGTCCTAAGAGCTGAACAACTTTTGTGCTGCTGTTAGTGTAAAACTAACGGAACAGCCTTTAAGAAACAACGGTAAATTTTGGACTGTAAGGCTCAGTATTTACAAATGTTAAATTAATTTAGTAGAGTGTAATTTTTGTTATCATTGTTATTACATAATTATTTATACACGTTCTGCTAACCAACCAAAAGTACCGGAGTTATACCGTGAAATGTGATTTGACTGGTATAAAACCATCTTTTACGGAAACTTAAGTTGCTGGCACTACTTTCAACTTCGGTGGTTGATGATTTTTGTTTCTCTGCGTTTAACAGCAAACCAAACTCATCTCTATATATGGAATAGTTGCCGTTCTTTAATAAGGCTAATTTGTACGCCCTCAGACAACTAAAACCTGGGAGACATCGCACAAATTCGCCACTCCCCCCCCCCCCCCCCCTTACTCTCTTGGTCCAGAGGCAGGCAACTTTACCAAGCAAAACAACATCTCTAACTGTTAAGTAGTATGGTGTACAAAAAGTTATATTTCAACAGTACAACTGAAATATGTTAGCTTTACATTATTGTGTTCCAATGAAATTTAGTTGAATCATTACACTCTTAAAAGAGGAGATGCTCATAATTGATGTGTTAAAATCTATTTGAAAGGAAGGTTAAGGACGGAGATGGGCTAGAGATTTATGTGAAGAGTGATGTTCCATTTTAGATAAGAGATCCAAGTGAAATTGGAGATGAAAGAAAAAAAATCCACATCTATAGAGAGAGAGCGACTCTGTGAGACAGAGGGAATGGGGAGAGGGAGATTGAGATACTAAAGAAGAACGAGAGAATAAAAAGGGGGCACTACCGAGGGGATGGGAAAGGATTATTTAAATCAAATTTAAAAAAAAAAAAATTTAAAGTTATCCATTTTTGATCCATTCTCAGGTCCTAATTGATTTCAAAGATGACGTCATTTGAAGAAATTTACAAAGGATGTAAGTTATTAGGGGGCAATATTTTTAAAAAAGACCGTGAAACATTACGGGGTTGGGGGTCTGTGGGTCGGAACCCAAGTCGTGGTGTTTAGAAAATCGATGCATATTACAAGACACCAACTATATCTATATCTATCTTTGGTGTTATCCGTTTGATGCTAATAAACTCCTTTCACTACTCAAGATAATGATTGTCACAGAAGGGTTGTTATGGAGGAGGGCTCCAGTCCTGACTTATCACAAACTGTTTTGACTTAGCAGTCGTCAGTACAGGACGGCTCCTCTCTCTCAATTATCTTTTGGGTATCTAGGCGTGGGGACAGACAAAAGGACAATGTAGACTTGAATGAAATCCAAATAACACAAACTCCAGGTGTCCAGGTGATAAAATATTATGCATTTAATACATTTATAAAAAAGCTATTACATATATAATTAAATATCCCCCGCAATACCACCCACTGCCTACCATACGATTCTCTCAAAGTTATTGACTTGCTACATTGCTAAGGACTTGCTATAACATTACGAAAGCCTTGCTACATTACTAGAAATTACATTCTCCCATCAGATCCTTTACACCGGATTTCTGTTTCATTTCTCTACACGCTCATTAACATATACCAAGCTTAGTTTTTTTATATCACTACATGCCAGCAAACTATAAAATTGTTTACTGTAACTAATTCCTGATACACTTTTCCTACACTGTCCCTTTGTGTTTCCCTGGTGTACTTTTGAGCGGGTTGGTTCCCACGCTGTCTTCCTTGTATTGAAATAAACCTTCTTTAAATGGCAAAAGCCGGCTCTTTCCCTCGACTATTGTATCTTTCTCGTGCGCCTACGATCATCCTCCCCTCGCTCAGCCCTGGTCATTTGTGACAGTCGTATGAAGCGATTGATGAAGAATTTAAATTCTTGAGGCGATCGCATGCACGAAATTGAAGTGGTCCTGTGGAGATCTAGTAAGGAAAGTCAAACAACGACTTCATAATACTCTACGAATTCAATTAGTAATTATTAATGTTAGGTAAATGTAACGGACTATGTTTTCACATGAAAACAGAGAGGTAGCAGGAGTGAACAGTGAATAGTGTTGACCATGTTTTGTCCACGAGGATAATGAATTGTATTTTGAGAGGACAATGTGAGCTCCACGTTTTTGGAGAGTAAAATTATGTTTTTGTCAGATCGGTTGTTTTCCACGCTTTGCTGGTAATAAAGTATGAGTTGACTGATATAGGGAGGGCAGTAGAGAACAGTAGAGCTAGGAGAGCTGTGTGATTAGACAGTTGAGCTGAGTTATAGTAGTGTGAGGACGTGTCTTTCTGAATGATGGAATAATACTATATATATATGTGAAATTACATTCATGCAAGGATTATCATTAATATTATCAGTATAAAGTGTGTTCAATAAAGTACTGTGAGTTTTAACCAGAATTGAGTATTCTTCCTTGCGTGCCTGGATAACAAGTGGAAGAATGAATAAGTCTTAGTCGGCATCCTAACATAAGTAACCATACTACTGACATAACCACAGCATAAGAAATAAGACCCCACGCCATGTCAGAGTAGATGTGTTACAGTAAACAATTCGTTCGTTCATCCTGTTCTTCTCTTCTGGTCCTTCACTACCAGAGCTTTGATTAAAAGAATTAAAACTCGTTAGCTCGCCCTAACCTTACGAAGCGTTATGGCGTCACCAAAATATGACTGCTCAATATTTCTTAGACTACATTTTATATAATTTGAGATGTTTCCATATTATTTATGTAACTTGGAGCAATGTGTCTAAGATTTTTTTTCTTCTAAATTCAGGTCAGACGGAAGAGGAGGATACACTCATAATGGAGTCGTGGAAAGACATGTACAAGCAATGCACAAAAGAAAATAACCATGAAGAATATATTAAAGTCTCCGAAATTGCGTCTCGCTTCCCGCAGAATTTTCGTGAGGACAGCGATTTGATTTATCAGATCAAAACCATGGCTGACCTGACAGTCCGCATTGAGATCCCGCTGGATACAAAGACAAGGCGAAATGGGACGGGGTTCGTTCAGAAAATACGGAGTCAGAAGGGAAACAGTTGTCCGGACAAAACTTGTCCAATGAATGGAAGCTGTCACAAGTGGGCTATTGCGACGGTCACCACTGTGTATCACGTGATCAATAGTAAGGATCCTAAAAAAGCAATGCAAGAAGAGCTCGCTGACCGGGCCGTGGTCAAAGTGTTCACGGGTGAGGCTGATGGAGCAGACGAGGACTGTGGTAAGATTCTGAAGGGTTTTAAACTCGTAGACTCGGACAAGGAAATCAACAACTTTGATTGGTGCGCCTTCGAGTGCGTGTCTCACGACGATGACGTCATTTTCGAACTGGAGGCTTCCTTGAAAATCCACGAAGACATGCAAAGGAAGACTTACGACAAATATAAACAAGAGGATAAGAGACTCATCGTGATAGTGGGTTATCCCCATGGGGGACCGAAACGAATGAGCTATTGCGAGCCCAAAACTGGGCACGTGAACCGGTGCATCCTGAAGGAAGTGAGAGATACTCAGGAGTGGTGCTGTTACTCGTACACGGCGGCCACCTGCCGCGGAAGCAGCGGGTCGCCCGTGTTCATTCTCGGACAGCCACTGTGCGGGTTTGGGTATTGGTTTGGTCACCCGCACAACCACAGCGCGTGGAGGGATTCGGAGAAGTCATCTCTCTCTTCCATCGGGGTGGACCACTTAAAAGTCGATAACGTCGGAGTCAACAACCGCAGCTGAGAAGATCATGGTGAAAAACAACACAATTGAGCGGATTGTGAGAACGGTGGAGCAGACAGTATAGAGCTAAACAATATGCATCAGAGATAATTTATTTGGACTAATAAATTGCTCAACATCAAACTATTTTGATGCTTCTGTACTTTTATTTTATTATAAATAGTTATGTTGGTGTAAATTATATCATTATTTATAATTTTCCATTCCGATTACAAATATCAGTATAATTATTGGTGCCAGTTTACCCTTCGGATGACTTTATGTTATATTGTTACTCTTTGAAAACCGATTTGAAAACATATCTATTTCGCAAACACCTGCTGGGGTGACTTTGTCTACCATCTTTTCCAGCTAGCTATTATCTCCTAGATGTATATTGGCCTGGGTTGTTAATGGTTGCAAGAGATGAAAGACTTAGAATGGGTATGCTCGTATGTAGTTTTTGTAGTGTTGCGTTTTGTATTTCAATGTGGTAAAACATAGATTTTTTTCATTTCTTCTCTAATATGGATGACTTTGTACCGCGCATTGAGCCTATGGGAATGAAGAGTAATTTTCAAATAATCTTTATTATTATTATCATTATTTATTCGTTTGGTCTTATTACATGCATTCCACCTTTCCTTTTAGATGCAGTGTTATTTATATCCTTATTATCTTGTATGACGCAGTGAAAGTATGTGGGAATTATATACTTTGTTCAATGAATAAAATTAAAACATATTAGTTGAGTTTCTTCGACATTTAATTTGACCTCTTTACTTCTTACATTGATTTACCACTCTTCTTCTCAAAGAACCCCATGAGGCATCAATAGCTTCTTTGTGGGGTCGCCAGCTGAAAAAGTAAATTGAAACTAAAAAAATCCAATGATTTTCATTGCTTTAATTGAATTTGATAATGATATTTATTTTTATTTAATTTAATTTTTTTGCATAGTTTTATTGAAATTTCAACCAAAGTCTTGAAGTTTGTAATGATTTTCATAGCAATTTTAAAGAATTTATTTAAGTTTTTGAAGATTTTCCTTTTTTAAAACAGAAAAGATTCATCATTGAGGTCAAAGACTGGCCAGGAAATTTGATCAATTTAACTCTTTTATACAACGAATCGTAAAAATTGGCGAGGCTTGAGTTTCAAGACATCAGTAATTCATTGACTACATTGAAAGTAAGTCGAAAATATATTTACATTCGATGAGAATACTATAGCAACTGAAAAAGCAACAAACAAAATTTTTTTTTAAAAAAACATCACCATTCCTTTTGCTGGTTGAATTGGTTTTCTTGTTTTTCTTCTAAAAAAACCTATAATTCAGAGCCCACGTGATTATTGTGTGTGTTTGTTTTGTGTGGTCATGTTTGCACCGTGACGTTAATAGGAATCTGAAGCTCGTGTACTTCCTTGATTTCCTAAAAACAAAACTATAGTTTTAACACTGCAGAACCAACGATGAGCTTCGCCCGGAACAAAGCGTATAAATTAATCTCTGCCCCACTTTCTCCACTTATGTCGTAGAAAGAGATGTTTGTAGAGGTGTCAGCCAGCCACCCAACGAGGAGAATTTTCCGTTTATTAATAGGGTCAGCTTTTTTTTATAGCCAACTGTAGCACTTGCGCTGGAGGTGGTGGAACAATATTTGGTGGCTCTTGTAGGCACTGACCATAGCTACGCCACTGACCCCAATCCAGTGGCGTAGGAAGGGTAGGGAAGATGTTGGTGTAAATTATTACATTCAAGCCATTTTCCCACTATGTACGGGTGGTGTTAGATTTTCTTCATGTCCTAAAACTCAAAAGTATATAGAAAATTTAAAAGGCAAAACAGTCTTTCTAAACACATGTGTATATGCAGTAACAAAGAAGTTAAACAGTCTATCTAAACACATGCGTGTATGCAGTACCAGACAGTCCAACAGTCTATTTAAGCAGATGTGTGTATGAGGTAACCAAAAACATTTCAATAGTCTAACACAAGTCATGTTTGTTTGCAGCACCAAAGACGGTTTAACGGTCTATCTAAATACATGTGTTTATGCAGTACCAGAGACAGTTTAGCAGTCAATCTAAGCAAGAGGTCAAGAGGTTAAGAAGTATTACCTTGTAAAATTGGGTTGTGATCTATAATTTGATTTTCTCGTTATACAATTATTAATTTAAAATACAAATAACAAAGAGAGCCACACTGAGCTTTCCATGGAAGTTTTATTCTAGTAGGTACTTGAAATTTCATTTTTATGAGAAAACAAAACAATCCAATGAAATCATTTATGTCTAATATGTGTCCTTTTTCTTTAATGTGGACATTACAAATTAACAGTGAAATTTTCAAAATAAGTGATTTTTGAAATTAAAGGCAAACTAATTTTTTTAAAAAATTAAAAATGTAACAAGCAAGAAACAAACATCATAATAAAGATATGTAAGAGAAGAAAATAGGTCTAGCCAACAGTTTCTGTAATTAGTTAATAATTGTAACGACGTAATACTACAAGAAGGATGCGGTCTGGATTATGTGAAGTTTTAAAACAAACTAAACATTTGTTTAAATATGTTTATAATAATTATATTTACACTAAACTATTCAATAGCAAAAGCCAAATAAGCAAAACAAATCAACACCAGCACTCCAGGTAAATGGATGGTAATTCAACTAAGACAAAGGAAACTCTAAATTCAAACCCGGAGGCGTAACTTCGAAGGCAGTATGATAATGTTGAAATAAAAACATTACGGCAGGTTCTGTGACGCCCCTGATGCCAAGCAGTATCATACACATTGATGTTCCCTTGGATTCACCAGATGAGTCGAGAGTTGGGATCTGCTGAGCAGAAACCCAGCTTTTAATTTTTAACAAACATCTCGTGCCGTTTGATAACGTCCTGCGAAGTATGCATAACTTGTTTTTCTAATAAAAAAATGTTAACAAAATTATGACGAGCGGATACAAACACATTTCTTTATACATGTGCACTAGATTTCCTTTAAAAATAACTTGAATTATAATTAAAACTACATTTACAACACAGATGTGTCGTGCAAACATACCAAACATCCATAGATTTGTATTATGTCCACTCAATATTTAACTTTATATATATATATATATATATATATATATATATATATATATATATATGTGTGTGTATATAGTAATATATATATATTANTATAATGAAATATTACATTCACTGTAACTTTATATATATATATATATATATATATATATATATATATAAATATTTATAAATCTATAATGAAATATTACATTCACTGTAAGGGACCGAGCTATTGCTCTTTGATGGTCCCAGCAGGTATGGAACAGGCCCGCCTCATCTGATGGGCAGTCCCGTAAATCATTCTTTCAACGTGGTTGGCTGAGAGCACCCCAGTCATAACAGTCGCCAATGTCGAGCACTCTGCAAGAAGCTGCTCTAATGTCTCAGGCGCAAGTCTCACACTTCAATATAAATCTATACTAATAATTCCATTCCATCGTAAATGAACATATCCCAGAGAACTAACTTACAAATCTTGAACAATTTAGGAATCATTCAAAGCCCTTTAACGCAGCTATTTATATACGTTTGTTCGCACCAAGTATCAACCAATCAGATTCACTGTCGTGGCTTGTATATGAGGGTTCACCTATAATAATGAATTATGAAACGTAATAAAATTTCTCTAGAATAATTTCAGTGGTTCTAATAACTTAATATATATATATGTAAATATCAATTAAAGAACAAAAGTAACTATAGCAGATCTAATATTTCTGTAATAAAATGTTTAATGCTGAACATAAAGTATATTAATTAGTAATAATTAATTTATAGGATATATAATGTATCTATCAAACAAAATTGGACATCTTATGTGTTTACATTAAAAGGAATCCATTGCATTGTTAAATGAAATAGAAAACATCGAGTTGAATATGTAATAACAATTTATGTCATCTAATATATTATGTAATACGTACACCATTAATATATTATTAAATTCTAATGCATGATATCTTGTGATTATGTAAAATATTTTATGTTTTTCTTGTGTTTGTTTAAGATACTAATTTATAATGTATTATGAGATATAAAAATAAGAATTCCACTTAATTATGATATGCAAAAAAGGAAATCAATAGGATTATATAAATAAAATAGTTAGCATCTATTGTATTAAGATATGGTAAGAAAAGATTTTTTTTTATAGATATTATCCAAATATAAAATAATATGAAATGTGTTTTTATTTCATTGTACGTATTCATTTTCAGATGAAGTATAAACACTCTGATAAAGAAGATATTTTTTTTTCAATGAGAATAATTTAAGCTGCAATCATTTTAAAGTATTTTGAGTGCACACCCCCTGCCTCCCACTCGCCAGTTATCCCGTGTCGTAAAAACTCCACATCCAAAATGATAATGTTCAATTAAAGGTGAGAACCGGATTTTATTACAGCCGGGGAAGTTCGCTGGGAAATTCTGACAGATTTGGGAATAAACACATTTATCTATCTTTCAGTTCTTAAATTGAGAGGAATAATTCGCCAAATTGTTGTTTCCATCTTTCGAAACTGTAATGAATTGAAAGGGTTCCATCCCTCTATTATGTCAGTACTTCAGATGTATGTGGCTTTAAATAATTTATAAAATACTGGTAATTTTTTGTTCTACACCGGCAAGTAACACAGAATTTCAATATACTGCAACGGTTGCATTTGAATTTTAGAATAGATTATAAGTTGTTTTTTTTTTTGTTAATTGATTTAGGTTTTTTGTTTTTTTTTCAAGTTATAACTAACCAAAATACCCGGCGTTTCTCGGGTTAGCTTTCGGAAAAACGTCCACCTAAAATGTGGTCCCACTTTGCTTAAAAGCAACACTTCCTTACAGAGTTCATTTAGAAATGCAGATTTATACAAAGAATTTAAAAAAAAATTAAATTTTAGTTATCTTTCCATCCGGGCCCAGATAAGTAGGATAATTATTTTGAAATAAAGATATTCACCAAAACCAAACTTTCTTCGTTTACCAATTAAAATAAAATACGTCTCCGAAAAGAACCCATTTCAAAAGAGCTAAATGCAGTTATTTATAAGATAGGGGCGCTATTAAATCCATTTTTTAAACTTGTTAAAATTAGATTTTTAAATTAATTCCATTAAATAAAAAAAAATTTGCCAAAGTTGTTGCCGCTTAAATGTATACTTTTGGGTTCCCTGCGCTGAAAGACTTAATTTTGTAAAAATATTTTACCGCAGTAAGTATTTTTGGTTATAAGAATAAACAAACTTTCTTTCAATGCCGTCTTATTTAAACTGGTTGAAAATACCTAACAAATAGTAATTTACTTTAAATAATTGTAGCCCCTTGTGGTGATCTGACCTAGTGAGGGGTACCTCTCGTATGATATCTCCTCTTGGCTCTCTGGCTAGGGATTCGTTATTTCAGCCAAATTACCACATGGACATAGCAACCTATCTATATACATATAGCATAGACTGAAACGAAGTCTTTGTTAAAGGAGAAATTACCTACAAGTATTTATTGAATAACAATGTTTACAAATTCCCTCGTAGTACACACTTNAAATTTGCCAAAGTTGTTGCCGCTTAAATGTATACTTTTGGGTTCCCTGCGCTGAAAGACTTAATTTTGTAAAAATATTTTACCGCAGTAAGTATTTTTGGTTATAAGAATAAACAAACTTTCTTTCAATGCCGTCTTATTTAAACTGGTTGAAAATACCTAACA